TAGCATGCATTAGTACTTCATTTTTTATGGCTGAATATTCCACAGTTTGTATAGACCACATTCATCAACTGATGGGCATTTTTGCTGTTCCAACTTTTCAGCTATTATGAAAAATATTTCTGTTATTTGTATATAAATGTTTATATGAGTATATGTCCTCAGTTCTCTTGGCTGTATGCCTGAAAGTAAAATTGCTGAGTCATGTGTGACTGTGATGAACTCTTTGAGGAACTGCAAAACTTTCCCACAGCGGCTGCATCATCTTACATTCCCACCAACAGTGCTTAGCTTAGGTTGTGGTTTGGTATTTCCCTAATGACTAATGGTGAGCATCATTTCATATGCTTATTGACCATTTGTATGTCTTTTTTTTTTTCTAGAAATGTCTATTTACATCCTTTGCACATTTTATAGTTGACAAACTTTATAATAATCTTTTTATTGTGGAGTTCAAAGAGATCTTTATATATTCTGGATACTAGAAGCTTATCAGATATATGATCTGCAGATATTTTCTCCCATTTGTGAGTCTTCTTAGTTTTCTTAATAGTGTCTTTTGATGCACAAAAGTTTTTAATTTTGATTAACTCCAATTTATTTTTTTTGCTTATGCTTTTGGTGTCATATTTAAGAAACTTACTGTCTAATCCAAGTCTTGAAGATTTATACCTGTGCTTCTTTTTAAGAGTTATAGTTTATCTCTTACATTAGGTTTTTTGACCTATTTTAGCTCATTTTCATATATTGTATGAGATAGGGGTCCCAATTAACTGTTTTGCATGTAGAAACCCAGTTGTCCCAGAACCATTTGTTGAAAAGACTGTTCTCATTCATTAATTTTGGCATCCTTGTCAAAAAAACCAATTAACCACAGATGAATGGGTTTACTTCCAAATTCTTTACTCCGTTGTGTTGATCTGTATGTCTGTCGTGGCCAGTGTCACATTGTTTTAATTAATGTAGTAAGTTTTGAAACCAGGAAGTATGAGTCCTCCAAATTTTTTCTTCCTTTTCAAGATTATTTTGGCCATTCTGGATTCCTTGCATTTCCATATAAATTTTAAGTTCATGTTGTCCATTTTTCCATAAGAAGCAGTTGAAATTTTGGTAGGGACTGTATTAAATCTATAAAGCACTTGGGAAGTATTGCCATCTTAACAATATTAACTCTTCCAGTCCATGAGCCAAGATGTCTTTCTATCTATCTAAGTTGTCTTTAATTTTTTTCAACAATGTTTGATAGTTGTATACAAGTCTTGTACTTTTCTTGTTAAATTTATTTCTATTTGTTATTGTTAATGCTATGTAAATAAATTTTTATAATTTCATTTTTTTATTAAGGTATCATTGATATACACTCTTATGAAGGCTTCACATGAAAAACATTGTGGTTATTACATTCACCCATATTATCAAGTCCTCCCCATACCCCATTGAAATCACTGTCCATCAGTGTAGTAAGATGCCACAGAGTCACTACTTGTCTTCTCTGTACTACACTGTCTTCCCTGTGACCCCACACACACCATGTGTACTAATCATAATACCCCTCAATCCCCTTCTCCCTCCCTCCCCACCCACCCTCTCCAACCCCTCCCTTTTGATAACTGCTAGTCCCTTCTTGGAGTCTGTGAGCCTGCTACTGTTTAGTTCCTTCAGTTTTGCTTCATTGTCACACTACACAAATAAGGGAAATCATTTGGTACTTGTCTTTCTCTGCCTGGCTTATTTCACTGAGCATAACACCCTCTAGCTCCATCCATGCTGTTGCAAATGGTAGGATTTGTTTTCTTCTCATGGCTGAATAAATATTCCATTGTGTATATGTACCACCTCTTCTTTATCCATTCATCTGCTAATGGACACTTAGGTTGCTTCCATATCTTGGCTATTATAAATAGTGCTGCAATAAACATAGGGGTTATAATTGCATTTTTAAAATGTTCATTGTGAGTGTGCAATGAACAGTACACTGTTTTTTGTGTATTGATTTTGCATCAGCAACTTTGCTGAACTCGTTTATTAACTGATGGCAGTTTTTTGTATATGGATTCTTTAGATTTTCTCTATTATAACATCATCTACAAATAGAGATTTTGTTTCTTTCTTTCTTATCTGGATGCTGTTTATCTATTTTTCTTACTAAATGGCCCTGGCTAGAACTTCTAGAATATCTTTGTCTTGTTCTTAAGAAGAAAGCTGTCAGTTGTTAAACATGAAGTGTGATGTTAGCCATGGATTCTCGGCACATACCCTTTATCGGGTTGAGGAATTTCCCTCCTTTTCCCACTTTGTGGAAGGGTGTTTTTGTTTTTTGTTTTTTTGTGTGTTTTTTTTGGTCTTAAAAGAAGGTTAGATTTTGTCAAATGCTTTTTCTGCATCTATTGAGATGATCTTGTGTTTGAGGGGTTTTTTTCTTTATATTCTATTAATATGTATTAAATTGATTGAACCAACATTACATTCCTGGCATAAATCTCACTTGGTCATGGTGTATAATTCTTTCAAAAATTCTGGATTTGTTACACTAGTGTTTTGTTGAGAATTTTTGCATCATTCATTATTCCTAAAGGATATTTGGTCTGTAGTATTCTTGTGATATTCCTGTGTGGCTTTGTTGTCAGGGTAATACTGGCATCAGAGAATAATTAGGAACTGTTTACCTTCTCTTTTTTTTTTTTGTAGAACTTGAGAAAGATTAATTCTTCTTTATATTTAATAGAATTCACCAAGGAAGCCGTCTGGTTCTGGGCTTTTCTATCATGGAAGTTTTTTGATTACTGACTGAGTCTCCTTACATGTTGTTATATGTCTATTCAGATTTTCTATTTCTTCTTGAATTAGTTTTGGTTGTATCTTTCTAAGAATTTGACCATTTCATCTAGGTTATCTAATGCTTTAACATATATGTTCTCATAATTTTTCCTTATAATCCTTTTTATTTCTGTTAAGTGGGTGGTAATGTCTACACTTCCTTTCCTGATTTTGATCATTTAAGTTTCTTTTTTTTTTCTTGTTTGTCTACCTGAAAGTTTATGAATTTTATTGATTTTTTTTCAAAGAACCAACTTTAGGTTTCTTCTATTTCCTCTTTTGTTTTTTCCATTCTCTATTTCATTTATATGCACTTTAATACCTAGTATTTCCTTCCTCTACTTACTTTGGTTTAGTTTTGGGTTTTTTTTTCTCTGTTTCTTAAGGTGGAAGTTTAGGTTATTGATTTGAGATCTTTCTCTTGCATTTGGGCTATACATTCTTTTTTCCTTGTATGCTTCATAACTTTTTGTTGAAACCTGGACATTCTGAATATTATAATGTAGCAACTCTGAAGTCAGATTCTACCCCCTCCCCAAAGGTTTGTTGTTATTTTTTGTCTTTTTTTTTGCTTAGTGACCATCCTGAACTAATCTGTAAGTCTGTGTTCTTTGTCATGTGAACCATTGAGGTCTCTGTTCTTTTAGCTAGTGGTCAGCTAATGATTAAGCAGACATTACTTTAACTCCTGGAACTAAAAATACATCCTAGTCTTTGCAGAGAGGCTCTGAGTGTGCTGTGGCATGTCTTCAAACTCAGGCCGGCAGCGTGCAGCTCTGCCTTAGCAATTACTTGCTGCTTGCCCCAAGTCTCGCAGTCAGTCAGAACCTTCTCAACTCTTCCCTGAGCATGCACACAGCCCTGGGCAAGTGCATGGCCTTCTAAATCCCCAGAAGTATATATGAGCTTTTCAAACTCTTAATCCCTTCAGGGTCTCATTCTCCAGCCTTTCCTTTCAAGCTATTGATTTAGTCTACTATTTCTCCTGTTATCCGTTGCCTCAGAAAGCAACAACCAGAACATTTGCATGTAAATATTTTCCACAAATGACTTCAGGCAACAACTTTAGCACCTGGTGCATTCCCAGTTTGATGAGACAAAGACAAGCCTTTTGAGCCAATTTTTGCAGGGAGCCACTCAGACGAGACAAAACAAATAATTAAATATATTCTGTACCCTCTGGTACTGTTACTAGGAATGTGTGATGATGTTTTCATAAGACACAGCTGAGCTAGAGAACAGTGAATAGAACTAGGGTAAGTTAAGGTGCTACAGAGAACACTATTTTTACCAAGAGTCATCTAGTTTTTGTCAGTAAGTACTTTTTTCTAGGTTGCTGCAAGCTTTTTGTTAGTTCCCAGAGTTCCAGAGTAGTTGGTTCGGACAGGTTTTGCCTGTTTCTGTATTGCTTTTATGGATTGGGGAGACGTTTGGAGTTCCTTACTTCACCACTTTTGCTGATGTTACTATAGTATTTTCTTTCTTAATTTGTATTTTGCTCTAATGATTAACTTAAATTTAAGGGATTTCAATAAGGTTAATTTTAAACATAAGTGAAATATTAGGAAGTTTGGTGTATGACTGAAAACTATCAGATCTGTACCTGAAATAGGATATGTGTGCTATATTATGTGTAGTCTTCAAAGTGCTGCCTAAAACTTGAAATTAATTTTAACCCTTGCAAAAGTACAACAGTCAAAAATCAGAGGGAAGCAAGTATAACACAAAAAAGAATAATCTAAAAATGGGGGAAAAAAGGGAAACTATGCATTGCAAATATAAATGAAAACACATTCCTTGGATGTCTAACCCAGTACTTCTCACAGGATATAACGACAAAAATAGACAAGCTTGAAGAAGTTTGCTTTGTTTGTGGTGAGACTGGAAGAGAGGCATATAGTGAGGCAGAGAGGAAGTCCGGTGCTGTGCGTCAGCCGCAAGCCATCGAGCCCAAAGAGCGCCACACAGTGAACATCGAGCTAGAGATCTTGTTGGTATCTTCAGTTTGGTGCTAGGGCCATTTTTTTTTTCTTTAATTTAAAATTGAAATTTAGGATTTCTTTATATATATCCACACATACTTAAGGGGCATGCACTTTAAAATTATATTATGTCACTTTAAAACGTGTTGGTTCTTTTTGTTTGTTACTGTTGTGTGTGTGTGGTATGTTTTGTTTGCTTGGCAGCAAGGAGCTGTGCCTCCATCCAGCTCAGTCCCTCCTGTTGCCGGGTCATCTGTCGGGCAGCCTGGGGCTGGATTTGCAATGGTGAGTGACCACCTCTGTTAAAAATTGTGATTGACATTTCTAAGGCCTGTGGAATGTGATTCTTCCCTAAATGCAGTAAAGTAAAACTTAAAAAGTTAAGTCATCTGCTTTAGACATTAAATCGTCCATACATAACAGGATAAAATCAGTTATAAAATACTTAAAATAAATTCTGCCATCAAAACAATTTCTATAGTACATAGTTATGTCATTTTTGAATTAATATTTACCAAACATATTCTTAGCTCAATCGTCAAAATCAACTCTTAACCACTATATTAGGACTTCCCACTTACCACTTTTATCACTAACAAATTTTAGGACCATCTTCCATGAAGAAACATGCTTTTATTTCTTCAAGAGTTACACTTACATTAGACAAACAACAAAGCCTAGTTGGGATGAGGCTATTGTGTGGCCAACCAGGTGTCAGCCACACCTCCTGATTCCCTGCCATCTGCCCATCTGTGAATTAGACTCTCTCACAGACCTGGGTCAGGGTGCGTAGTGGGTCCCCTCAGGCTGTGAACCGCTCTTCCCTTGCAGCCTCCTGCTGGGACTGGCGCTCCCCTGATGCCTCAGCAGCCGGTCATGTTCGCACAGCCCGTGATGCGGCCACCCTTCGGAGCCGCGGCTGCCCCTGGCACACAGGTCAGTTTAAAATGTCCACCAGATAGTGGCATTAACTTATCAATATAAACTGCCATGTGGCTAATTCTTTAATAAAAATGTTGTCACCTGATATAACCCTCATATCTGTTGCTTCATAAGTAAAAAGGAACATCGAGGACAGATTAGCAATGGTGTTAAGTTTTCGAGGAAAATTTTAGAAATCACTAACTATTCTAAGGTCCCTTTATTCCTCTCCTACTTAATTCAGAATGGCTCCTGAAAACAAACAGACATTTAAAGTATCAAGTCATGTATTTCAGAAAAATGAGTAGTTCTGATCCGTAGTTTTATCATATGTTTCCAGAGTTAGCCAAACTCAAGGCTAGATCACAGTCCTCCAGACTGCCAAGTTTACCCGAGCCCTGTGACACTAACTGCAAGTGAGTTTTCCAGACCGCAGAGCCCAAGGGACTAGTCCCCACCACACCGCCCTCCCCTCAGACACCAGCCGCAGGTTTGGAGGTCCCCAGGGCCATCCTCACTTGGACCAGTTGCCTGCAAATTTGAGAGTTCCCAGAACCACTCTCAGTGTAGACAGTTTCCTAGAATGACTCACAGAACTCAGGCAAGCACTAAATTTACAGTTACAGTTTTATTATTGTGAAGGAATACAAATTAGGCCTAAAGAAAAGGTGCATAGGGCAAAGTCAGGGAATGTCCTAAGCCTGAAGCTTCTTTGTTCTTTGGGATGTATCACCCACCTGGCATAAATGTGTGCTAGTAGATGTGCAGTATTGCCAAGCTGGGAATTTCCTCTGGGCTTTAGTTTGCAGAGTTTTTATTGAGGTCTTGTTTTATAGGAGTAATTGACTGAATAATTGTTCATTCATTTGAATTCAGCCCCCAGCTTCTCTCCCTCCCTAGAAGTCAAACTGATATCATGCGGCCCCAAAACCCAACCCTCTAAATCACATGGCTGGTCTTCCTGGCATGGCCCGCCCCACCGTGAGTCACCTTGTCAGCATGAACTATCAGGTGTGGTGCTAAGAACGCACCCCGAGTAATGAGGACATGCCTGTCACTCAGGAAATGCCCAGGGTTTAGAGCTTGCCTACCAGGATCCAGGACAAAGGGCAAACCTCTCTTTAGGTGAGGCCAACTTTCTTACTAAACAATGTACTACCTTCACTTACAAAGATGCTAAAATATGTGCACTGTGTTGAACGATTTGCTGCTAATAGTGACAATTACACTAATAAGTCACCCTCCCTGGATTCCTCTTACAAACTGCCCAGCCAAGGTGGAAGTATATGTAGAACAAAACAGGTTTTCGTCATAAGAAGTTGGCTTGGAAGGAGACAGAACACCAAGTTGTAGCTTCACTCCCACATGCTGAGCAAACCAAAACAAATAGCTCATGTATATTTTAACAGTATCAGGAAATGGTTTCACTTCTGTAGTATCTTTAACTCACCATATGGGTGTTTATATTCTCATCCATAGGGTTCCTGTTGTGAACTTTCTGAATGTATTTTAATCCTCTCTGCTTCCCTAAATCATCTCTAAATCCATCCTCTATCTGTTCCCAAAATGTGCTTTCAGCTTCTTTATTTTAACCCCTCAAAAGTCACAGTGACCAGGAGAGAGGAAGATGGGTGTTCAAAGAAATAAATTTAGAATATGAGAAATCTTAGCCTCCAAGGCCATGCATGACCAAAGCACTGTCTTCATGAGAAATTTTCTAGACTGCTCTGAGACTAATGAACCATGCCTGGAGTTGTTTGGGTGGGGAATGAGGATGGTTTTAGGGGTAATTGTTGGGGCTAAATTTAATCTAAATACATTTACATTCTAAGGATCTCATTTATTGTGAATGTTTTGGGGTGATTGACTACCCATGACTACCACCTTTTTGAAAAAAGGAAGAATGTTTCTATCTTTAATGAACTTCAATCAAAATTTAAAAATCATTGAGATTTAAAAAATTTTTTATTTTGTTTAGTATGCTGAAAGCTTTAGAAATAAATTAATGCAATTTGATTACTTAAGGTAGTTTTTTGCACAATACCAGTGTTACATAGCATCAGTTTGTTTATGTAATTCAAAGAATGAGAATGAAAAATAGATGTAATAAAAACAGTGTTTTAAATATTTGATTGAATTTATAGTAATTTAAGAATTTAAGAAATGGTATGCCATATTTATATAATTCTTTGTTTCCTGTGTAAGAGAAGAAGCATAGCCAATTATACTAGGTAATAAAATAAACAAGAGTTTGTAGCTTCAGAAAACAAATTAGCATTTTTATTAATGATGCCTGTACTGCCCCACTGTTCTTCAGTTGGCTGGTGTCATATGTTGTCATTTCACCTAATTATTCATTATGGTCCAATTCCTGAGTTTCTTATCTCCCAAACAAGTTCAACTCTTACATTTCTTTTTCTCCTAATCTTTCTATGAAATAATGGTCTTAGTTTTAAAATGGAAGGTTGACTGATAGATACTGCCATCAGCAAATAGTTTCAGGACATAGGAACAAATCTAAAAGTCCTTGCTTTTGGAGCTGTTTATTAAACCAATAAAAACATAACATCCTTGCCCCACAGTCCCAGATTTCTGAGATTTACATCATGTTATGAACATAGGAGTCTAATTAGGTTCAAAGGATCTATTTCAATTATTACCCTCTATAGATTACATCACCTTTTTGAGGCTTTATATCCTAACATTCCTGGAAAGCCCACTCCAAGAACTTATTTCTATCACACAATTCAGTAACTTAGGCACTAATTAAAGAGAAACGAGGTAAGTTGATGCTTTCTGCTTTTGCTGTGAGTTCCTGTAGTGTTTAATAATTAGTAGTCGCTGTGAGCTGGACAGGCAGTGTTGGAATTTAGTGGCATTCACAACTAGGAAACTATTTGCTCATCCAGAACAAAAGAGTACCTGAAAACTTGATTGGTTTTCACTTAAAATACTTTATATGCTAATAATTTTAAGTAATTTCTTAAGCAACCTTCTGCAAACTGTTTCCTTTCCATTTTTCCTTCAAACTGAAAAGTCACTTAAATTCCTTTATTAGTTTAGTGATGCTAATAACTCAAAGTAAAAATGCTTTTGTATAGAGAAATTAGTGGTTTGGGTTTTTCTACTATATATTAATAATATCTTTATGTGACTAGTTTTTCATATCTTCTCTAACTCATATCCATATTGTTCTACCAGAGTCCTCAAATTTTACTTGGGCTAAACCGGATGTCAAAGAATTTCAAGAGAGCCAAACATAATTTAAAGTGTATTTTTTGAATCCAGAATTAAAAACAGCACCATGACTATGTAGAACAAAGTAAATGTTGTGAACCTTTAGCCATCTAATCTTCTGCCGGTTGGTTTGCTGTAGCATGTGCTCTGCCCAATGCTTACCTGTCTCTCTGTTTGCTTTCTACCTGCTATCATGGGCTGGCTTTTCCGTATTAGCATTCTCCAAGCCCTACACCTGCCACTCAGAGTCCCAAGAAACCTCCAGCAAAGGACCCATTAGCGGATCTTAACATCAAGGATTTCTTGTAAACAATTTAAGGTATCTAATATTGAGCTTTTCCTGTGGCCTTGTAATAATGACCTATGCACTGCTTAGCTATTTGTAGTATGTGATATTTGTACTTCTGTGTTTTTAATACATTTGTTTAATAACAATAGTAATTCGAGTGTTTATACTTTTTAAATCAATATTCAAAGCTATCAATGAATTATCAATAAATTGTTTTAAATCTTATAAAACTAAGAGGAACCTCCAAATTGTCCTTACACTTGGAAAGCACGGAGATCACCTTGACAAAGCAAAAAGTTGCCCGAGCTACTTGGTAATTAGGAAATTATCACTTTATTGCATGATAACTAGAATTTATAGGAAACTAATATTTACAGTATTGCATTTAGAAATCATCTAAGAATGTATTTGGCTATATAATCACATCTTTATTTCATTTACCCTTGTTCAGCCTCATCAGAAAAAGCCTAAATACTTACCTTTACATTTCTGTGTTAAGCAGAATTTAAAAATTTTAACACTCTGGTTTTAAATTTCTAATATAATTTACAAAATAATTAATAGTGGATTTAAGAGAAAGAAAATAGTTCACTGCAAATCCCAGCACCTAACCTAGTGGATAAGTTCTCAGTAAATACTTGCTCAATGTGGGTGGACAGTAATGCTGCTTTTCATTTACACAGTACTTTTCATATCTACTTTCCAGTCATTAACTCCTTTGAGTGTCTCTGTAGGAGGTCAAACCCTGTGAAATAAACTAGCCAGATACTTCTCATCTCCATTTCACAGCTCAAGGAACAGATCCTTGGCATTAAGTGATTTGCCCTAGGTCACACTGAGAAGCAGTAAGACTGTCAAAAAACACTGTCCAGTATTATTTTTATTGTATACCCACTACCTGTATATTCTTTAAACTTTCTCTAATGCCTACTGCAGTTTTTGTGGATTCCTGCTTTATGACAATTTTCTTACACAAGATTAATAATGTATCATTTTGAGGTCTTGACATCCCAGCCAAGTAATTTCTCCTGGTGCCCAGCTTTTCTATTCCGCTTTGGGTTGGACTGGGCTGACATAGGCACCAGTAAGACAATGAGTACTTTCTTCTTAGCGACTGCAGTTTCAGGGGTGACCAAGGACACTCCAGAGGACAGCCTTTTACCACCTCTTACTCAGTAAACATTGCTCTCCTCTCATGCCAGGAGCTCTGGTAGGTGCCTGAAACAGGGTACTCAACTGTCTCTGCCCTCAAAGATTCACAGGCAGGGGGACAGACACAGAGTCTTGTGGACAGGAGTTATCCTCGTGGCTAAGCTGTGAGGCCCCAGGAGGGTTTCCAGCCGGCCGGCCGAGATGCCTGGTGAAGCCTGCATCAGCCGCATCAGTGGGGGGTGGGGCCAGAGCCGCGGACTCGTCCCCCCATCCCCCTGCCTCCTGTTCTGCAGCTGTTCAACCGCCTAGTGACCCACTGAGCACCGTGACTGGAAAGCAGCACAGATGGCAGTCATTGCCATTCCCTTTTTATTTTTGCTGCCCTTTTTAAAAAGTTGAGGTGTTCTTGAGATGAAACATCTTAATACAAAGATTTCTAGTAAGTACCCATATTTCAAAATCTTTCTGATAAAATTTTTGTCTAAAATGAAACTATACATTAAAAGCTTCTTTTTCCCACTGGCTGAAAATTTAAGCTTATTTTCAAGAATTATGAAAGTATATAAATGTGAATTTGTCAATACAGAAAACTTTCGTGTGAAGATTTTTCATAGTAACTGTAATATAAAATTGCAAGGGAGTGCAGTGTTGGAGGAGTATGTAATATTGTTTCCTAATTCACATGCTTTTTATCTTTACAGCTGCAATTTTTGTGACTGAATAGGAAAAATATGACTTTGGAGACTTATAAGACTGATGCTCAGAGTTCCAAAGTGAGCCTCCAGTACCAGACCCAACGCTTACCCGTAACTTCTCTTCCAAAACGTGTAGCACAGCTGTGAAAGTGAACGTTAGGAATGTGTACTACCTTAGCTGTTATCCCTGATCTCACAACTGTAGTGTATTTGGACTATTTGTGTGTTGTACAATGTAAACAATGAATGGATGTTTCCGATGCCTTCTGTGCTTTTCTGGACCTCGTCCACGGATGGATGACGCAGCTGTCGTGTGCTGAGCCATTTGGAAAGATATGTCTGTGTTTCTGAAGGTTTCAATGTATATATAACTTTTGGACAAACCTAAACTCTCCCCATAAATTCTTTTTCTCTATTTCTCTGTTACAAACATAGTGTAATAATATCAAATAGCAAGGAAAACACTCAAATATACAAACTTTTTCAGTGTGGAGTACATTTTTCCAATCACAGGAACTTCAACTGTTGTGAGAAATGTTTATTTTTGTGGCACTGTATATGCTAAGAAACTTTGTTTTAAAAAAATATAAAAGTTAACATCACAATAAATATTTCTCCTTGAAGCTACCTTACCAAGAATGAAAAACATATGGGAAGAATTCCATATTTAATCACTGCTGTATTAAAATAGTAAAATATATTTTAATTATATTTGACAGGTTTTGCCCTAAATTGACCTATTTATTCATTCTTGATGAAATGCACTGAAAACTAAAAGTAAAGTGTCTGTTTCTGTCATGTCCATGAACATGCAATTAGAGATGTACTATTCAAATGATTGTGAAGGCACCTCAAGATACTTAAATTTAAAGATCACTGCAAATAATTTTATTTTATTGTGGGTTTTATGTACATCTGTTAATTAAGTATTTTTTGTGTGTTCTGTAGACTAGTGTTCTTCCATCCCTCAACTGAGCTCAAAGTAGGTTTTGTTGTTACCATTGTGATTAGAATTTAAACTAATTCAGAGAATTGTATTCTTTACTGTACATACTGTATTTTAATTTTTAATTTGCTGTCATACAGTCTGTGCTGATGGCTTACGGTTTCAATGCATACATGAGGTCACTGTTGATCAGTGTTGCTATGGCTTGGCCACTCTTCATAAAAGCATATGGGTTGGAAAGGTGTTTGCCTATTTTTCAAATTATTTAATAGATGTATGGTACCATTTAAAAGTGGTTGTATCTGAATTTACTGTGGGGATAACATACACTGTAATGGGGGAAAATTACCTAAAACCAATTTCAAAATGGCATTTCTTTGTATTTCAGTTTAAAAACCCAGTGCATGTACGCCCTCTGAGATGCAATAAACACCTTGAACAAAGAAAATGCAAACATAATCTTTCTCTCTTTTTACTTCTTAGAGAAGTCCTTTTCAAATGATACACATAGCATATACAAAATATTGAAGACCTAAAATCATTCAGAGTAATAAATGCTGTCCATTTCCACAAAACATAGTTTGATTATTTTATGAGAAATTAAATTCAAGGAAAATAGCTATTTTAATCAGCCATCATTAAACTTGGATTCCATGGCTGCTCCCGTGAAACTGAAATTCCGTGCTCTAAAAAAGAAGAGGGTGAACTATCTTTTAAAATATGTGGCTAAATTCTTATGATAGTTTCATAAGAATTCTCTATGAAAGTTGAAGAATAATAAGACTTTAAATTATAGTTTACTCACACATTTGCACTCACATACACTCAGACACAAAATCTAGATTAGCCTATCTTAATAAAATCGAGTGACTACGCCTATAACGAGTTTGTTACAGTGACTCAAAAAGTAGTCCAATCTCAAAGAGAGCTGTTTCTCAAATAGAAGCATATTCTTATGTCAAAAACTCTCTTTTCCATACTTACCTGGGATTTATAAATTGAGAACTAACTTTCAGAAGCTAGTATATGATTGTATAATATGACTTTTATAGACTATAATTTGATCATATACTGCTTTATGGGAATATTGTAATTAAAAATTTTCATCAAGATACACATAAAATGACATAGTGTACAGTTCGATGCATTTTGACGTGTATACATCATGTAACTGTAATCCAGATTAAGATATCAAGCATTTTAATTTTTTTCCCCTTCACCTATTTCACCCACCTCTTAATCCCTTTCCCCTGTAGCAGCCACCAGTCTGTTCTCTGTGTTTCAGTCTATTTCTGTTTTGTTCATTCATTTGTTTTGTTTTATAGTCCATCATATATATGTACCACACCTTTATCCATTCACTTATTGATGGACATTTAGGTCATTTCTGTATCTTGGCTATTGTAAATAGTTGTGTAATAAACAAAGGGTTGCATATATTTTTTTGAATTAGTTGTTTTCTTTGGAAAAATCTCCAGAAGTAAAATTGCTGGGTCATATGGTATTTTTATTTTTAGTTTTTTAGCACCTCCATAGTGCTTTCCACAGTGGCTGCATCAGTTTACATTCCCACCAACAGTGTAGGAGGGTTCCCTTTTCTCCATTTCCTCGCCTACACTTGTTACTTCTTGTGGATTGTAGCCATTCTTACTTGTGTGAGGGGATCCCTCATTGTGGTTTTGAAATGTGTTTTCCTAATTAAGAGAATGTGAAAGACACATGTTTTCATGTATGTGTTGTCCATCTGCATGTCTTCTTTGTGAAAATGTCTATTCAGCTCCTTGTCCATTTTTTAATTAGATTATTTGTTTTCTCCATGTTGAGTTATATGAGTTCTTTATATATTTTGGATATTAGTCCTATGTTGGATATGTTATTTCTGAATATATTCTGCCATATAGTAGGTTGCCTTTTTGTTCTGTTGATGGCTTCCTTTGCTGTGAAGAAGCTTTTAAGTTTGATTTTGTCCCACTTGTTTATTTTTGCTTTGGTTTCCCTTCCCTGTGGAGAAATATCCAGAAAAAATTACCAATACTGATATTCAGGAGTATACTGCTTATGTTTTCTTCTAGGAGATTTATGGTTTCAGGTATTCTATTTAGATGTTTAGTCCATTTTTGGCTTCATTTTTATGTATGGTATAAGAGTGTGAAATAGGGTCATTCTTTTATACATAGTGGTCTAGTTTTCCCCAAAACTATTATTTGAAGAGACTGGTTTTTCCCCATTGTATATTCGTGGCTCCTTTGTCATATATTAATTCACCATATATGAATGGGCTTATTTCTTCACTCTATTCCCATTGATCTGTGGGTCTGTTCTCATGCCAGTACCACACTGCTCGATCGCTGTGTCTTTATAATACAGCATGAAGTCAGGGAGCATGATACCCCCAGCTTTGTTCTTCTTTCTCAAGATTGCTTTGGCTATTTTGGGTCTTTTATGGCTCCATACAAGTTTTTAATAAAAATGTATTTTAGATGATAAATAATTTAAGTTTAATACTGCATTTTTAATAAGCTTTTTCTCTTCATTGAATGGTGCATGTGGTATAAATGGCCCATGTTCTATATATATATACAAAGCTACAAGAACATTTTTAAATCAAAACTGAAACCTTGCTGTGGTGAGGTTCTTGAGGTCCCTGTAAGGCAATAATTCTTTTATAGATGAGATGCTAGATGAGGTCCTCTGGATATTCAAAAATTATTCTCTCTGGATAATTTTCCATGCAGACCCAACTTACCTTTGGTGTTTTTACACATGGTGAGTGTACCTTTCTGGCTTCACCTCTGCATCAAACACACCCTCTGCATGCACTAGGACACATGCACACATACACTGTTCTGTATGTAACCCCACTACTACCCGTGAGGAGACACCAAGCACTTTGCCGCCCTAAATCGCCTCACTAACACTCCCAGAGCAGCTAAATTCCACTTACCCGTCATGTCTGCCCACCCTACTCTTCTGAGAGCACAGCATCAACCTTTAGTTCACTTAAAATGTTGCATTATCAGCTGTGACGGTGGCATCTGCTGTGGCCAATTGTGAATCTTAACAGCAGGAAGCATCTCCTGTTTATATCCCCAGCAACTAGCACTTCAGTAGGCGCCAGGTAGTGTCTGAGGGATAAATACGAGCACATTAGTGCTGAGTGAGGGGTCTCTTCACTTACCAGGATACTGCTCGGCTTCAGTCGTTATTTCTGACTACTAAATAGTAACATATTTAGTGCATTTTGGGTAAATGTTATTAGAGTTTTAATAGTTCTCTGTCAACTCATTGTGATAGAAAAATTAACACCGATTGAAAACCTGTCAAGTTGAAAACTTGCATCACTTTTTGTAGAGTATGATTGCAAGTGGTGTTTTCAGTATTAAAGTATCTCCTTTGTTCTCTAGCTCTAATGTTATTTACTGTACTTTTAAAAAAGAAGAAAGACCAAAGACTTTTAGGAAGAATCATGGGTTTCAGAAGAAGGAAAGAGTGGACATGAGAACTCAATTCACAGAAAGATAAATTGTGCAAAGACCTCTTTCTGCCTCTTAGATACCTTTAATAATATGTCCCCAAGTTTTTGCTGATGGATGGAAAAAGATGCACCTCTTGTAGCAGTGATTTCAGTGTTTCTTGTGTGGAAGTCCTTGTTGAAAATCAAAAAGAGTGTTAAATTAGTTGAAAAGTCAGTCTGTATTTTCAAGGCAACAAATTTTGTGCTGGTGTATTTTTAACACTGTTGGGCTGTTAGAAGATTTCAGTTTCTCATGACCTTGCTGACACCAGATTTTACTGCTTTCATACTTTATTCAAATCTACTCTGTGAATATAAATGTATAGGGAGCTATGTTTTGCGATTTAGTGACAGAGAATTACCCTTAGCTAAACCCCCAGAGCTGCAGTGCTCAATCACTGGACTTCATTCCCACTTACAACATGCATGTTCAAACAATTTTGATTCTATAATTGAGTCTATAGTAGGTATTCTGGAACTAATTTTCAGACAAGAATTTTCCAAGCTCTTTGTTCTCAGGACCCTTTGCACTTTGTACTGACTTCAGAACACCTTTGTTCATATGGGTATGTCTGCAATACTTACTGTGTTAGAACTTAAAACTAAGAAATTTTTAAATGTTTAATTCATTTAAAAATAAAAATATTAAAACCATGATAAATATATTTTATGAAAAATTATAAAAATAATTTAGAAGAGTGGCCTTGTTTTTCCCTCTTTGCACATCTCTTTAATGTTCATCTTAACAGAAGACGGCTTGCATTCTTAAATCTGCTTCTGCATTCAGTGTGTGGCGATATCCCATGTCGTACTGTCTGTCACTAGAAAATTCCACTGTGAGCACACTTGTGAGAAAAGAGTCATCTTAGTACTATTACGGGAAGCTTCGACCTCACAGTGTAACTATGCAAATAATTTTGACCTCACAGACCCCCTTGAAAAGGGTCTCTGGGATCCTCAGCTGTCCTCAGACCACATTTTGAGGACAGCTTCTTTAGATCTAAAAATTATTTTCATGTTCTTTGAGAGAAAAATTTTACTAGTTAACGGATTGCATTTTTTGTGTATGTGTGAACATAATAACCCCACCACCATCATTTTTTGTTCAGTGTCTTTCCAAATGCCCCCTACCACCATCCCCACATGACTTTTCAAGTGATGCTGAGACTTGTGCGAGAATGTGAGCTCTG